AGAGAGAGAGAGAGAGAGAGAGAGAGAGAGAGAGAGATTCAAAGGCTACATTGACAAAAAGCCCATTTATTCTCCATTCTCATTGATCTTCATAGATCATTATCATCGACTAATCATTTAGCCCGATCAACTATCCTTGTGAGAAAAGATTTGTTCTCCTCAGCTAGTCATCTAGCTTAATCAATGATCCTTGTGAGAAAAGATCTATTAATATCTCTTCATCCAAAGCAGACTACACTATCTTTCGAGAGATTAGAGATCATCAATCAGTGAAGGACCCATCGTCTTAGTCGGACCGTCAATGGAGTACAAGATCTATGCTCTACCAGCACATAGAAAAGAACCACATGAAACATAAATTTTTTCTTTATTTTATTGTAATTCTTTTTATTATAATCTGAGTTAATAACAATACAAAAATACCCGAAACAAGATGGCGACTCCACTAGGGACTTCCTTCTCAACCTACGAGAAGATTGTGTTGCAGCCCGACACTGAGACCCTCAGGTCTGTCTTTCGCTGAGTCGCTAGTCGTTAAATTTGACCAAGCAAAGTTTTAGGAATTCATTTTATTAAACTAATCATCAATGACAACTATGTGGAGTTGTCATAAAATTCGCCGCAATGCGAGCCTAGGATCAAAATCGACCATCGCATATGTTAAGGCGAACTTCACCAAAGACAGTTTGAGCTTTGTTGGAAGCCAAACGAAACTCACCCAGAGTGATGACAACTTTAGTTTTTCCTACAACAAGGTGAGCCTCGCTGAAGACAGCCCCAACCTCATCGAAGGCAAAACGAACGTCACCAAGAGCAAGACAAGCCTCTCTGATGATAGTCGCAGTCTCGCTGAAGACAACCCCAACTTCACTGGAGGCAGAGCGAACATCACTTAGAGAGAAGACAATCCCAGCTTCACCCAAAGCGAAGCGAACCATACCTAAAGCAGCCTCAATGTCATTGGAGGTAAAATGAGCTCCGTCTCGAGCCCAAAGCGAAGGTCAAGACTCTCAAATATCCCTCAAATTTGGATGTCAATCGACAACCTCTCTGGGGGCTCTCTTTAAAGTATCTTGCAATGCTCATCATGCTTCCTTAAAGGTTAACAAGCAGCAACAGCGATCTCGCAAGAACAATGCTACTTTCAACCTTGATCTCCAAGAGTTCACGGTTAATGTGACCAATGTAACCCAAGAAGATGAGGATAGCATTGTCAAATCTAGAAAATAATGGTATCTATTGCTATACTAGATCAAGACGAGGGGTAGTTATCCCCTTTGATCACTCTGTTTTGAGGTTGCCTGTTCGACGAACTCTTTTACAAGCAGATCATCATTTTGGTAACGACGTTAACTCGGCCATAGTGTCAAACACAACTCCTAGCTCAAGTTAAGAGTGGGAGTGGGCTGCCAACATGATGGACAGGGAGGCTATCGACAATCTTATTTGTCATTTTGAGGCCCAAAAGAAGGCATCCGACGAGTGCCTTGACCGACTCAAAAATATGCTTCAACAACTGCTGTTTACTTACTAGCCCTCTGCGAGCACTTCAAAAGGGAGCAACCGGTTAACATCTCCATCAATAAGGAGTCACTGTACCAGCAAGATATATTCTCCTCTTGATCAGAGTCTAAAACATCCAATACACTAAAGACGAGGCGTAAATTAAAAACACTCAAGAGCATCCAAAACCAGCTCGATGCTCTTCCACAGAGGACTGAGCTAAGGAAGGTTGGGATCACTCAATCTTATCCCATCGAATGGGACTCTATTCCCTATCCGATGAAGTTTAAGCTGCCAGTGTTACACACATTCAATAGCAAAGGTTCTCTGAACCAACACGTCTACCACTTACATCAGCAAACGAGAAATATAGTAGGAAATGATGCTATCAAGGCACGACTTTTCATTAGCGCACTTCAGGGGTAACCTTTGATTGGTTCAAGAATTTAGCCGAAGGATCAATCAAATCCTGAGCTGACTTAAATTCACAACTCTTGTCCTAATTCCACAAGGACCAGTCTGATGTAACAATGGCCAGACTCCTTTCGGAGAAACAAAGGGGAGATGACTCAGTCAGAGCTACATCGAGCGGTTTTGCAATTTAAGCTTGCATTGCCTAGATACGCCACTGCCGATGTTACTCCAAATATACCGGCACAACTTTCTCAGCCAAGTGGAAACCCACAAGGGCGATGTTCAAAGCTAACTCATGAAAGATTTGATTGATCAGGTAGAAATTGCTAAGAAATTCGCTGAGAGATTCAATCAACATGATCCGTGGTTAAGCTGTGAAGAGGATGATAATGAGACAAAACAATCCTCTAATGATGAGAGTGAAATAGGACAAGCCTCCTGATTGAAGTTAAACTCTCTTCGAATCTCGTTGAGCGGAACCATCAATACAGCCTCCTACGGCTATGGCAACACTTTCTCAACAACGGTAACATGGCCTCCTATGGATCTGGCAACGCTTCTTCAGCAACACCAACTAGGCCTCCTATGGCTATGATGATGCCTCTTTAGCAACGCCAACACAACTTGTCACGACTATGGCAATGTATCTTCAGCAACATTAAAGCAGCCTCTTATGACTACAACAACGCTTCCCCAGCAATGCCATCCTAGTTTGTCAGCTTCGTCTTATAGGACATGAGCCCTTAATGGCAACATCATGCTCTTCGGTATGCCCAATAGTATAACCTCTGCTGAAGCAATTTTTCATCAAGTTTAACATCACATCTCTGACAATAACTTTTACACTCTACATGACATTAGAAGTTAACCATTTGTGGGTACTCATGACGAAGCCAGAATGTCTGAGTTTCAAGCTTGTGAAATCATTATGTCCCTGAGTTTTTCTCAAGCTCCACGAGGACATTGCAAACATGGTGTCTAGATCAAACGTCACCTCAGACCATCAAGTGTAGGAACTCTATTTCAACGATGCGTCGCAATGGAGTCATGAAGGAGTTGTTGTCACAAGTGTGAGGGGTAGTGCTCTTCACTCCTTATGGACACATCATTCCTCGGACTTATTCATTGACTGAGCCATGCTCCAACAATGTGGTTGAGTATGACGCCCTCATAATTGGCCTACAACTCGCCTAAGACATGGGTGCTAGATATTGTGAAGCCTATGGTGATTCTAAGCTAATCGTCAATCAAATCTAGGAAAAATATGAGATTCAGCACAACAATTCCTCCTACCATACCATGAAGCAGCAATGAAACCTGCTCATCTTTTTTTTTTTGAAGGCTTCTACATTAACTATGTAGCCCACCTCAAGAATACCTATGCCTTAGCGGCTCTAGCAGCTATTTTAGCCTTGTCTACCAAGCACATTATGGTAGCTAACCACCAGTTGCGTTGTCCCAAGTGAATCTTGGAAGCCAATGAGATTCACGCCATACCTAAGGGTTTTGAACTCAACGATTGGTGTTACTCGATCATCGACTATGCCTTGCATGGCATAATATCGAATCCCTATCCAAAGGAAATCGAGCCACTTCTTCTACAATCCCACCACATAGGCATTATATTGCTAATCATTCGATGGCATGTTGCTCAAATGCTTATCACCAAGTGACACTCTGGAGTCAATAAAGAAGCCCATGTGGAACTCATTAAGGTCGACTTTGTTGGTCAGGCTATTACTAGCAAATGATGACTGCGGGACGCAGTTGTCTGCACCAAGAGATGTCGTGCATGTCAAGTCCATGCTGATTTCCTACATTAACCTCCGAAAGAGTTACATCCGACTGTTGCCTCATGGCCATTCGAAGCATGAGGCATGGACATCACTGGGCCAATTAACCCGTCGTCCGCCAAAGGCCGTCGATTCATCTTGGCCATTATAGATTACTTCTCCAAATAGAGAAGTCAAGATATCTCAAGTGATTAAATTCTTGAGACATCACGTGATCTAACGATTCAGCATTCCTAGACGAATCATTCACGACAACAATCCTCAATTCTCCAGTCGACTGTTCTTCAAATTCTGCAACAAGTTTAAAATTCAAGATGTGGCTTCCACGCCATATAACCTAGCTACTAATAGCCTAGTTGAAGCTTTTAACAAAACCATCATCAAATTTCTAAAGAAGTTCATCTCCTCCAACAAACGAGATTGAGATAAGAAACTTGGAGAGTGCTTATGGGCTTATCGAACAACAGTCTGCACCCCTACTAGATCAATGCAATTTTTCTTGGTCTACAAATGTGAAGCCATGATTCCACTATAAATTCAGGTACCATCACTCAGAATCGCCATCACCGAGAAGATGACAACCGAAGATCATCATCAAAAGCGCCTTCAAGAACTAGAAGCGCTAGATGTACTAAGACTTCAAACTCAAGAAAGAATCAAGATCTACTAGTCACGGATTTCGAGAGCCTTCAACAGGAGAATTAAAGAACGGTCCTTCAAAGAAGGCGACTTGGTCTTAGTTGTTTGTCGACCCATGGTCATGTCGCATAAGACTAAAGGCAAATCCCAACCCAAATGAGAAGGTCTGTTTGTAGCAGAGACAGTCTACTCAAATGGAACATATCACCTAATTGACCAAAATAGCAATAGGCTCATGGTGCTAATTAACAGGAGGTTTCTCAAGAAATACTACCTGTGATTCTGGTCAATATCATCTCCCTACAAAAAAAAAAATCTTGGTCACATTTAAGTTTCCACCTCTAACCAGAGATGTTAATCTTCTTGATCTAAAATCTAATCAAAATCTCCAACGAATCATCAAGTTAACATCACACCTCTGGTTTACTCTAAATACATGATCACTATAATGTTAACATCACACCTCTAAACAGTGTCAATTTGATCAAACTGTCATATTAATGTTATAGCTCTGAACGATTTTTCATGATCTGACTGGTTAACATTACCCCTTTGTCAGACCATTTCGTCGACTGGTTAAAATTACACCTCCATCGACTTATCTTAGAAACTTTGATTGGTTAACACTACATTCAGTTCGCTCTTATCAAAAATCTATCAGTTAACATTACACTTCCATTGATTTCCTACCGTTAAGTTAACACTACACTTCTAAATGGTAGTCGTCCGTTAGACTCTTCGAATCAACCGGTTAACACTATACCTCTGTCGGTCACTCCCTTTGGCATGTTAACGTTACACCTCTGTCAAAATTCCTTAGTACTATTATGTAACACTACACCTCTGAACAATACTAACTTTGTAAACCTGATATGTTAACATTGCACCTCTATCAATTTGATCTCGTCGATCGGTATACAAGGTTAAACTACTTCCTACACTCCAATGAGTATACGAGTATAAACTGATTTTCTATGCTCTAATGCCTTAAGAGTTTAAACAGTGTAGACTCCAATAGATACATGGGTATAAACTATTTCCTATGCTCTAACTACATGAGAGACTAAACTATAGACACTATGAATCTCTCTAGCTTAGTTGAGATGATGGAATACTCCAGCTACGTACGAGTATGAACTACGGTTAAACATCCGGCTACACTCCAGCAATTACGCCAACATAACACTCTAGCATTTACGCCGACATTCGGCTACACTCCAACAGTTACGCCAACATCCAGCTACACTCTAGTAGCTATACAAAACATTTGGACACACTCGAACAAGCTTCGCTCATACCCAAAATCAATCGAAATTCGTTGATTTCCCAACATCGCCTTAACAACAGAAAAGGCAAACTTCGTTCCAAACATAGATTTAGACGAGTACAAGCATCATTGAACCTTCAATACAATTCTATAACCAAGGAAGCTACATTCAATAGTACACTTCTGGCAACTAAGTAGGCAAATAAAGATAAGTTTCAATAGACAATTCAAGCCATGTTCAACAGTACACCTCTAGCTATTTACCCAAAGTATTTCAATCCTAACTAGAAATCAAAATAAAGGATCTTAAATTGGGGGGGGG